CATTTTAAGGTTTTGTAGCCTAGAATGGTTATTCCAGGTTATTCCTATTGTTTGAGACTGGAGAGAAGTCATGTACATGTTTGTGAGGGACAAAGGGGGGAACTGAAGCATTGCTTGTAATAAGGGAATCCAGAAATGTGTCCAATGGAAGTGGGGAGGAGATGCAACCACAGAGTAATGGCTACTCGTTGAAAAGGAGAGAAAATGGGATAAGAAAGGGGTACTGTCTGGTGTCTGGTTTTTGAGAGGAAGGAAGGTGGAGGCAAGCACTCATATACAGAGTCAACACTGGGTCAAACCTGGTGACATACACACAGGAGTTTGTGGTGTTATTCTCCTGAACATCTGAGATATTACATAATAAAAGCAAGTAGCTGGGATCACAGGGTCCATGGGTCTATGTTCTGGGAATGCTTCGCTATACTCCTGTTCCTTAAAAAGCACATAAAACAGCAGCTGCCTAGGAGGAGAATGCTGAAGCTTAGATCCAGGTGTGAGCATCCTCCGTGTAGACCATTCTTCCTTGAGATCCGAAGTGCTAAAGGAAGTCTGTGGCCACACTAATTGAAGAATGGAGATCAAAGTGCCCCAATTGTCTGGTGCTTCAGAAGAGGTGCCATATGTCAGCACAGTTGTCTGCCAGGACATCTTCCAAACAGCAAGTCCTTCTGGGAAAGTCAGATTACATAACATCCTGGAGGGAATTCAGAGGGTAGGTGATGTCCGGGGGACCTGAAGATGACAAGCCAAACAAGTGCTGGTCTCTGCTCATTCCTTGGGAGACCAAGGAAGCTGCTATCCTGGATCACCTCTGAATTGTCCTTCCAAACCTCTAGATGACCCAGTTCTATCAACACACACAGAGAACATAAGTAATGCCTAAAAGGTCTGTGTCCTTTTGAATTCAAGGGGAAAATTACTCTCCATGTAAACATCAAAATACGAAGCAGAGACCATTGTAGAGAAGGGCCTGTGACTGTGAACTCATAAAATCCATGTGACTTCCATGGGAATTATGATCACAGAGGTGTCCAATCTTTTTGAGTGTCATGGCTATAGAAGCCACAGAAGTTGACAACCAAGGCAACTGGTGGCAGGTGAAGTAACCTGGCATTGGTAGGCAGGAGAGATCACTTGTGTAAGGCCAAGAAAGCAGCTTAGGATGATGGGCCATTTGGAATCTTGGGGTTCACTTTAAAGCTAGGGTTCCAGCTAATAGAACTAAATTCCTGGAGCTACAGCAGACCATTGAAAAGTAAAGGGCAATCATTATATTTGTGCCCCCAAAGAGTGAAATTAATCGATTTGGTGGTTGCTCACTCATGTCCCCAAGACTATACAACATGCTATAGTTGTACCATTATCATACAGCCTGACACCAGGGCAAGGCTCCATTTTTCAGGGAATCATTATTTTTCAAAAAATAAAAAATAATCCTGGGGCTGGAGAGATAGCTCAGTGGCTAAGAGCACTACTCCTCTTGCAGAGGATCCAAGTTCTGTTCCTAGTACCCATGTCAGGCAGCTCACAACTAACTTCCTGGAACTCCAGCTCTAGGGGATCGATCCTATGGCCTGTTCTGGCCTCTGCAACAGGCACCTGTACTCATGTGCGCGTAATCACATATAGGTACATACATATACATATAATTAAAAATAAAAATATCTTCAAAAATCTTTAGGAGCTACCATACCAAAATAATAAACATGGATGGTTAATAAATGTTTGTGCTGTTTATTAATTCATCTTTGGGACTGAAATGCTCCATGAAGATCATGCTAGCCCACCAACCCACAAAAAGATGCCATCAGTCACCCTGAAATGTTTTAGATGCCAGATTTGCCAGTAGTATGAAATGTGGCCATTTTATTCAAATTGAAAAAAAAATGTTGTGTAGTCATTAACTCAACCCTGAAGCCAATCTTACAAAGGATATAATCATCTATACACCCTCCATTCAGCTGTGAGTGTCAAGGAATCTCTGAATGAACATGCATTGTTAACATGGGCACAGCCATGACAAGGATACCAATGCCTCAAACCCATAGCAACTGGCAAAATTCCTCCAGGTGAGGCTTGGAGGAATGGCAAAGCCTCCCTCTTCTCCAAGTGTTTACAAATGATGGACCAGTTTGTACAAAAACTAGCCACTGCAGCTTCCTCATGCTGGGTGATTGCAACTGAGACTGTTCCCCTGTAGGGATCTCCTACCAAAACTAGACAAGCCCTCCCCTTCTTGTGCTGTACACCAGGATTCATTCAGCTATTCTTGAAGGCCAGTTTTATGCCACTTTGATTTGCCACCAAGCCTGGCACTTACCCAATAAGCCTAGATATTCATTTCATTATCAAAAGCACAAGGGAGTGAATCCCTTTAAGTACCCACATCTTTTCTAGCAGGTCAACAACTGCCCAGGCCCAGCTTTTCTGTTGTACTCCATGTTGGGCATCTTCCCTCACCTGTCCTGAGTCCCAGCCCTGTGCCCTAACCCTGTTGATGGGGGCCTCACGTGTAAATGGATGTTTCCTGTCCTGACCACTCAGTCCCAACTCACAGGCTGAGTATGAATTATAAATGCACAGCCAATAGCTCAGGCTCATTACTAACTAGCTCTTACAATTTAAATTAACCCATTTCTATTAATCTACATTTGGCCACGTGGCTAGTGGCTTTACCTGTTCTCCAGCAATGTCTTGCTTCCTGGGAGACCGGCTGGGGTCTCTCCTGAATCTCCCCTCTTTCTTCCCATTATTCTTTTTGGCTTTCCCACCTAACTTCCTGCCTAGCTACCAGCCTGTCAGCTTTTTAATTAACCAATGAGAGTAATACATATTTAGAGTGTAGAAAAGGGTTGTTCCACAACACTGACATCCCTCTGGGCCTTTAGAAAGCACTGCTTCTTACTTCCCCAGTGTCACCCTTGACAGATCAAGTGGATTTCTAACTGTTCTCCCCAGCTTGCTCCTATTTTCTTTGTACACTCTAGACGTTTCTAAATGGTCTTTGCTATGTCTGTTATCTTCCTTTTTAAAAAATGTGTTGAGTTTGTGAAGGTGGGTGTGAGGAGGAATGGATGCATCAAGGCATATGTGTGGAGGTCAGAGGACAACTTTTGGGGATCTCCTCCTCCCATCCTGTGGTTCCCAAGGGTCAAACTCAAGGTATCAGGTTTGCCAGCAAGTGCCTTTACCCCATGAGCCAGCCATCTTACTGACCCAAACACGACTTTATTCAGCACTCCGGACTAAACCCAGTCTCCATGCACATGGTAGGCAGACATTTTACCACTGAGCAGCTACACCTCCAGTACATTATTTTCCTTAACTTTCTGGGCCTCTCTGGGTTAATTCTTAATTTCATATTTCTCCTGCTAGTGCAATGGAATTTGAGGAAGAACCTATACCCTTTCCTCTACAATGAGAGAAAACTCTTCTCTGAGTTTCCTGGTGTGGTTTTTTTTTTTTTCTACAATGGATATGTATTATGATAGACATAAGCACTGTTTAAAGAACAAGGACATGTCTCCCACTTAAGGCTTGGCACTGCAGCCCAATGGCATTCCTCCCAAAGTGTTTGTGCCTGGAACAGGCAGGGAGGAAGTCAGGCAGAGAGAATGTTGGTCCTTGACCAAGTGACTTCTCATTGAATTGTTTTGGGTTAAAAAGAGACACATCTCACAAGTCTTAGCTCACAGAGTGTCATTCTACATAGCTCTGTGTACTTTACTGCAAATGAAAACACAAACAGCCTGAATGACTGCTCTTTGGCACCAAGGACAGTTTAACTCAACATATTTTAAACACTGTCAATCTTGTTTACATTGCTTTGTTATGTCATTTCTTCACCTTGCCAATAAAAATGTGATAATTAAAAAGTCATTTTAAATTTCCAGTCTTAACCTGTACATTTGTTGCAAACAAAAGTGTAGTCCCTAAGTCTAATTCTGTAACAATTCACTCTTGTGCATGAAGAAAACCACAAATCAAGATGTGAAGGGATGGCTCTCAATAGGGGGTCACAGTGCAGGATGGAAGTTCATGACATATGTTCTTCCTATCTGAAGAAGTCATCACCAACAGGCATTTAAACTAGGGGAGACATGTGGTGTATCTCTGACCAGACCTCTGGAAGTCTATAGCAACAGTTCAAAGGACTTAATACTACAGCTGCCTCCTAAGCTGCAAATAGAGCCAAGACTAAACACTATTTTTGTGGCTCACTTTGCTTCTCAAGCTTTGTCCCAAGGGCTGAGTGTGCAGCTCAGAGACAGAGCACTTGTCTGGTACATCCAAGGCACTGGATGCCATGCTCAGTGCTACATTAGACCCTAGTACATTCACCTGTCAGTAGTTTCACTATCCAGCCCATTTGAAAAGTGGGACTACTATGGTTCAGCTCTACTGTGAAATGACAGAGCCTCCTTATTTGTGATCCTTAAGCTGGGTTTCATGTTCCAGTAATTTTAATAATGTAGGATAAAAATCAGTCTTCATAAGTAATAACAACTATGAAAGTATTTAAAAACTAAGCCAAAAGCTTAAAGAGTTAAAACATAAGGCCAAATTGGAGGACAGGCTGTAACAAGTGATTTAAATACATGGTAACAGCATCTCACTTAGAGTCACACTATGAGCTACAATTTTAGAGACAGGCCTCCCTGGAGCAGTCCAAAGGGAGCTTGTCTGACCCTGTCACACTTGGCAATGTCTCAGCTCTTACACCCTTCATATTGGGAAGTCATTTCCTCACCTGTTCTCATCACAGAGGGTTTAAATCTCAAATAATAAATACTGATTAAATAATAATATATGATTCTAAAGAGTACTGTCTATGATAGTTACTTGTCCGTTGTTATGGTAAAATATGACCAAAACAACTTAAGGAGATTGAATTTTAATGTGGGGGAGGCAGGGTAGTAGGAAGGGAAAGCATAGCTGTTGGAGCAGGAAGTGGGGTGGTCACATTTTATCCTCACACAGGAAACAGAGAGAGAACAAGAAGCGGGGCAAAGCTATATATTCTCAAAGCTTCCCGTGCAGTGATGTACTTCCTCCTACAAGGCTCCTCCTCCAAAAGCTTCCGTAACCTCCCCAGACAATGCTATAAAACAAGGACCAAGTGTTCAACTACATCAACTACTGGGAGATGTTTCTCATTCAAACTGCCTTTGATTATTCTTCTAGCACTTATATTTTTTGTCTCTTTCACGAGAAAAATTGCCATCAAACAATTTACATAGTTCATGTTTGAGTACCAAGCTATGTCTTACAAATTCAAAACACAACATGCATTTTCTGTTTACAAACAAGGAGAAATCAGTCTGTACCCATAAAGTCCTTTTCCATTTCCCCACTTAATTTCTGTAACTCTGAATAATTACTGCCAGTATTTTACAATACTCAAAGGCTGTGACTGTTTACTGGTGTTCACTCAGAGCCCAAGCTGTACTGTTCCTATCTCCCATCACTTGGCTATGCACTTGGACTTTTGAGTCTCTCTATAATCTGGAACTTTTTTCTTTATAGCACTGAAACATGAACATAACATTATCCTCAAGATGCCTCTCTCTATCCCAGGAAAGCCTCGCTCTTTTATTCACAATGATCCCCAAGGGAGAATGGCCTCTTCTCATCATTGCTGTAAATCTTACCTACTATTGTAATCAATCAGAACATGCCCACATGATTATGGATTTTTTATAATTTATGTAATAAAAGAAAAATCAGGGCTTTGCCTCACAGGCTCCAAAACATCAACTACATTAAAAAGTCTAAAAGTTACAGTATAACACAGCTATAAAAACACACCTATAAATATCTGAACACAACTGATGACTAGGGTATATGAAAGCCAGCTTTCCCATGTTATAAATAAACATTGAACAACCTGAAAACATGACATAAATTAAACTCCTATTCACGAAACTATATGGGATGAAGCCTTACTTTGTTCTCTCTAAATGCTTTCGGATGCTTGAAGGCTGTTCATGATTAAGAGAAGTAAAATATTATCCTAACATGTCTCCATTAGGGAGTTTCTACACTTCTTGTTAGTGTTAGTGCTACAGCCTATAGTAGGCATTTTAACTGCCAAGGCTTTTTATTCAGCAACTTCATAAAAACAAACAAACAAAACAACTAAGGTAATACTGGTGTGGAAAACAAGACAGGATTTCTTAACAAGTAAGTGTTAACAGAGTCATATAAAAGGGAGATTAAATAATAAAAGAAGCTCTTAGCAGCAGTAGATCACAAATCCCTTCCTACAACTCACACTCTAACACATCCATCTGTTACCAGATCTAGTCCCATTAAGAACTGGTGCTAAGCTCATTAACAAGCTCTTCTCTTTACAATGGTGCATGAAACGCCAACTTTAGAATTATCTACACTGCAAGACAACACTTTGGCAGAATATACAGACATACTTTTAATCTTAAGCATCTTACAAAGTAATCATTCATAAGTTTAACAGGGACTTGAGAGTATGATCAGCTTGAAGGAAAAGACACTAAACATCAATGACAAACTATCTACATTCCCTAAAACAACTACCATGCAAGTTATGTACTAAGGTTTAGCATGAATATTACATCTCTTCAGTATCAGCACTCATCAGGTAAACCTAAGTTTTCTAAAGCAGCATACTTTCACACGGTATATCCTGGAAGTTTATTTATTACTAATTCGCAAATATCTCTGCACTGTTTGGAGATATTCAGTGACCCAAGGTCATCGTCCTCTTCTTGGAAGTCAGCTGATGCACTGTTGTCTAAGCCCTTGAGTTCTAGCTCGGACAAATTTGATGGCTCATAAGAACTCACTTGAGATGTCCTTGGTGACTGGCTTTTCTCAGAGGACTTTCGACTGGCTCCTACTTTAAGTTTAGTGGAGCTGTCCCGACCTGTCCTCATGACCTTTGAACTACCTTTACTCAGAGGATCTGCCTGGTTTTCCTTTTCATTTGTCCACTGTGATGAAAAGTCACTGGTGGAGCTACTGGAGGTGTCCTCCAGAATCCTATGGGAAGTCTTCAATACATGAGATCGTCTATGTGAGCATACTGGTGAGCCAGCAGAGAAGGGAGGGCTGGGCACAGGGCTCACTCCACTGCTGCTTTTCCTGGTGGACAGCCGTGCCTCACTTGACTTGCTTGTCTGGGAACCATGTTGGACATTTTCTGCCCCTGAGCTGGAGTTGGGAGCCAGAAGACTTCTGCTGTTATTCTCAGTCATGCAGAAGTCTTCAGAATAGCAAGGGCTGACAAACTCATCCTGTAGCTCTGAGATGCTCGCACAGGAACTGTTTCTACTGGGTGGTCTGTTTTCACTTGTATCAGCAATCACAACGTCTGTGACTTTGATTTCCCTACCATCTTTCCCCTCATCTACAATATTGTCAACAGTAGGATCCTGTTGGGAAAGCTCTGGGCTCTGGACTTTCACTTTTGACGTTTCTCCCAGAAAATTTGATTGAGATCTCTCTGGAATAACGGAATCTTCAGGACACCCACCTGCTTCCAACCAAGTGTTGCTGGTTCTGTTTTCACTATGCTCAACTGTTTCTTTTTTAACAGCATGGCTCCATTTCATTTCTTTAGTTGTACTTGACTCATCAAGACATGCACTGATCTGTCGTGAAGTATCACTACGTTCAGCAAAAGACCCATTTAAGTCTGAAAACTTATCCTTGGGCAGCTGTGGTGGCATCTGTCTCTGTGCTGCCAAGCTTGGTACTTTCCCTTTCCATGGCGGGGCTCGGAATTTTGGCCCCACAGCTTGTATTTTCGATTTTCTATACTGCTCTCTCTTTTCGTGTACAGCCAGCATGTCAGGGTTTGTTTGCTTTAAACGCAGTCTTAGTGTATTTGTTAAGCCATAAAGCAGCTTCCCCTTTGTAACCCTCGCTGGAGGGCTACCACTGATCTCTGAATGTTTACCATTAGGGTTCTTTTTAGATTGAACACTCCCACTCCCGAGCTTTTCATTTCCTGGAAAGGAAAGTTTGTTGCTCTTTGATTCTGACCCAGATGTAGACTTGACAGAAGGTTCTGGTCCCTTATGTTCACCTCTGTACAACCAGGCTAAGTGGGGGTGAACCTGAGTGGGACTTGCCACTGGCTGGTTACAAAGCAAGGACAGCTCAATCAACAAAGCATTCAACAGCGGCAGCTGTCTTATTGCATTGGCTGTACTTTGTTCAGTCTGAGGGGGACATGCAACCTCATTAACTGCACCTGGACCTTGCATCTGCGGAGGATTTAGACGTACTGGAGGGCTCTCCCCCGTTGCAGATCCTGTATGTTTCACCGGATGTATGGGAGGACCTACAAGTTTTGTTTCGGGTAAAATGCCATCCAGCTCCTCAGGTCCGTTTCTCTGAGGCTCGATAGTGATTTCAACCCTGTCAGGGGGTGTCTTTTCCTGAGTCAGGTGAGTGTAGTACAGAGGAGGAGGGCAAAAGATGTTGGTTTCAAAGTCCAGCTCCGTGACCTCTGGGCTGAGGGGGCTGACAGTTCTCCCACTGAGAGCGGGTGAACAAGGGGCAGAAGGCATATCCCCAGAGCTGGCCTTACTGTGTAAGACTGCTTCTTCCCAGGACTTCTGGACAGCTGAGGGATCTGAATCTCCTGCAGACCAGCTGTTGGAACCCTTGGTGCATGTCTCTGAGGCCTCCAAGCAGCGTGCATCTGAGGCACACTGTAGGCATTTGACAGCGGCTTTTTTGGTGCATGGCTTCGAGGTCTCCTGGGTAGGTGGCTCCCACACCTCCAGGGCCTGGGAACCCGTGACACTCGAAGGGCTCAGCAGGCCCTGCAGCTCCGGAGCCCCCGAGGGAAAGCGTCCCAGGTCCGTTAGACAGAAGAAGAGCGCCAATTCCCCGACGCGCTCGCCCGCCGGGCCTCGCAAGGTGAATTTACCCCGTCGGCCCTGGGAGGCTACCAACAGGATGTCGCAAGCCCCCAACAGGAGCGGTGCAGACGCAGGGCCCTCAGGAAGCTGCAGCAGGGCGGCGCGCAGGCGCGGGCTAGGCAGAGCGGCGGGGCGCAGGCGTAGTAGGCAGGCCTTGCCGCGCCCGAAGCCGATGGTGCCGTCCTGGGGTTCCCGGCCAGAAGCGGCAGGCGGAAGGACGAGAAGCGGAGGGAAGTCCAGCAGGCGAAATGCTACCGCGGGGTCCCTGGCGCTCGGTGACAGCCCGATCTCCAGCCGTACCCAGTCTACGAGCAGCTCCAGCGAGAAGAGCCGCCCGGCCGCTGTGGCCGCCATCGCCGTTGCCCTGGGCGACGCTACCAGCCCGCCCCACCAGCCGGAAGCAAGAGCGAGAGTGGCTTAGACTACTGCAGTGTTGAAGCTCTCTCGCGAGATTTGATTGCCTGGCCCTGGGATGCTCCTGTGAGCTCCTTTTGCCTTCGGGCTTTAGTTGGGGTAACTGTGAGATGTTAAAAGATCAGGTGTGGCGAAAACAGTATTTTTAAAATTTTATATTTTATCACTGCAGATCCCACACCATTAGGGATCGTATATTGGAAAAAACGGGCTGTTCTGCCCGTTCCAGGCCTCAGAGCCTGCTGACCAGTGTCCAAGGCAGCCTTCTTTGTGGTTGCTGTGCACCCAAAGAAAGCACTGACCTGGCAGAGGCGGTGCAGTATTCTCTGTCATTGTCTGCCCTGTGTCTCTGTCCTATCACACAGTGATGGCTAGCAGGCCACACTGCCCTCACTGGGCTTCCTTCCACCTTCTTGAAGTCTTCTTCCCAGGAGGTTTGACCTCAGCCTCTACCCTGACACCCTTGCACCCATCGTCCAGGTGTAGAAAGACTGTATCCAGAATAACACACCGTAACACTGATCAAAGTCCTCACCTCCATCCTGACTTCTGACCACCCTGCTGGTTTGTCTTCAGAAAGAGTCTGTTAGTTTATCCAGAATGTTCTGTGCCATGGTATGGTGGTTTGAAAGAAAATGACCCCCAAAGGGACTGTCATTAGTAGGAGCTGTGGCTTTGTTGGAGGAAGTGTGTCACTGTGAGGGTGGGCTTTGATGTCTTTTTCTCAAGCTTCCCTCAGTGTGACTGCCAGTCAACTTCCTGTTGCCTGCCATATGTAGCACTCTCGGCTCCAGCACCACACCTGCCTGCACGCTGCCATGCTCCCCTTCATGATCATAAAGGACTGAACCTCTGAAACTAAGCAAGTACCCTCAATTAAATGCTTTTCTTTATAAGAGTTGTTGTGGTCATAGTGTCTCTTAACAACAATAAAAACCCAAACTAAGACAGATGGGAGCCCAATAACTGCAACGCTGACTGTATAATACGGGGAACTAATTGGGGGCCGGGGTTGGGGGGGCAGGGAGATGCAGCTCAATGGTAGAGTGCTTGCATCACAGAGCCTAAGCCCCGCCTACAGTCTCAGTACCACCATGAGAGGGGAGGAAGCTATTGGTTCAGTTAGTAAGGCAAATGGTATTGGTATGTATGTCTGGGAGGAGTAGTTAGTGAAGGTAATGTTGGTCACTAGAATCCTATAGTGCCACACCCCAAGTATGTTAGTGCACCCTATTTAGTGACTTTGCAACTTAAGCCCAAGTCCACAGCCCCCACAGCTTCCACACTGTCTCATAGATTCCCAGTCAGTGTCTCACATAATATGCAGATTCTGAGTCTCCCTTCCTATTTACCTGATCTGAGGCAGAGCCCACAAAGACACAGTTTTTACTCATTCTGTGGGTGACCCTGAGGCAGAAAGCCCTTGTGTTGTGGAATATTATTTTAGCTATGTAACAATTGTAACATTTGTTTATACTGCAGAATATTACTTTGTAAAAGTGTGTTACATCTGTTTATGCTGCATTTGTTTAATGATGTGAGGGTTGTGTTTAATTATGTAAAGATGTGTCATATTTGTTTCACATTGCCTGCCTAAGGCACCTGACTTGTCTATAAAAAGCTGAATGGCTAATAGCTAGGCAGGAGAAGGATAGGTGGGACTGGCAGACGGAGAGAATAAGTAGAAGAGAAAAGAACAAGAAGAAAGAAGGTGAAGAGAGCAAGGGAGAAAGAGGGACACGCCCAGGGCAAGAAGCCAAGCAGCAGCCAGCCAGACTGACACAAGAAAAGTAAGATATACAGTAGGAAACAAAAATAAAAAGCCCCAGTGAAAAAGGTAGATAAAGAGAAACAGGTTCGCTTAACTTAAAAGAGCTGGCCAGAAATGAGCTTCAGCTAGGCCAAGCATTCATAGCTAATAATACGTCTCCATGTCAGGATTTGAGAGCTGGTTGGTGGCCCAAAAGAAAAAGCCTGCTACACCCTGTTCTTGTCACCCTCGGGTCACTGACTCATTGTCAGTAGCTATATTGCTGAGAGAAGTTTGTAAAGAGCAGAATGATATCATTGCCACATGGATAGAACAGAAAAATACCAATGCAATCACATAGTCATTGCTCCCTCGGTTACATTATTGAGGTGAAGTAGAAGGGTGGAAGCAGGTGACCATCACCTGTGAAGCATCAGTGTCCACAGGCACCATGAGAGGAGATGCGGGTGCTTAGGAGACTCTTGTTTAGTCCTCTTGACAACACCATCAACTGCTGATTGACCTAGGAAAACACCAACGACCCCCACCCAGAGAGGCTAATAGTGTATTTAAGTTCACATGGCAGTAAGTGCTCAAGCTGCAATAGTAGTTCTTCCCATCTTTAGAAAGATAGTTAAACATAGAAAACCACAGCATCCAATCCAAAAACATGGTCCTGGACACAAAGGGACCATTAAACAACTCAGAGGAAGCAAAGAGGCAAATTCAGGGAGTTTATTCTATAAGAAAATCAGCCTGATGTTTGCTTGTCTTTGAGGCAGCAGGGTCTCATTTGCCACCCAGGTTTGAGTTGTCACCCACCCATCTCAGCCTCCAGGACTAGGATGACAGGCATCAGCCACCACAACTAGCCTGACCCCTTTCAAAGGAAGAAATAATCAAGAACATAGCAGAGGGCAGGGCCACAGGATAATGCCCCAAACTTGGTGTTAATAAGAGACACAGCTGTGAAGCTTGTCACCTTCCACGATGATATGAAAGAATTATTAAGGTTAAGAGTGCAAGTGCAATGAAGTTTTTATAAGAAGATGTTCTCAGACATAAGAGACAGAAGAGGAAGAAGTTGGGAGAAAATGACAGCCTGAAAATTCTCATGAAGCCCAGGCTGGCCCCGAGCAATGACCTTGAATTCTTATCCTCCTGCCTCTGCCTCTCAAGTGGAATAACAAATGTACACCACCACCACCTCCACATTCTGCTTGGAACTTCATTTAAATGCTTTAGGATGAAACAAAAATGGCAGAAAGAATGCAAATGTGATAACATCCTTTTAAATTTTTATTTTAGGAGGAATGATCTATCTTTTTTTGTAGGGCAGGGTCTAGGCAGCCCAGGGAGGCTCTGAGCTGGTGAAGGCAGAGGATGAGCTTCAAGTTCTAATCCTCCAACTTCCATCTCTAGAGTGGTAAAGTTTATATTACAGGTTTTCATGCCTCCACAATCCCATCTCAGGTGATGTTGGGAATGGAACCTGGAGCTTATAGCATACTAGGCATGCTCTACCCGATGAGTGACATCCTTAGCCAGTGTCTTCATTGTTGCATCCGTGAAGAAGCATATGGAAGCTTATGGTGTAGTTTTCTTTATTGTAGTTTTCTTTGTTATTATTGGGGGTTTGTAATGACTTGTGTATCCCTGTTCATACCCATCTGTTCCTGGCATGTGTCTGGAGGTCAGAGGACAACTTTTGGGATCCTTCTACCTTGTTGAGTTGGGGGGCCTTCACTTGTTCATTCTACAGTGCCACATGCTCCAGACGAGCTCTCCTGTAGGCTTCCAGGGGGTTCTTCTGTCTCCACTTTCCATCTCATAACTTAAAAGAGTGGGAATCATAAATACACACTGCCTGTCTCTCTGTCCTTACCATTGCTGGTCCCCATGGTGTTGTTTTCTGTACTTATGTGAGTGCTTGAATATTTGTATGAAACAATAGTAATTTTTGTTTGACAGGTTTCCTGTCAAACACAAATGACTGAGTGTCATGTACTAGAGGCCAGTGCTGTCAAAACCTGCTAGGGCCTGTGATGGTTATAATGGTGTGTTGCTTGGGGAAAGTGCTTATCTTTCCTCCCTCTCTCTCTCTCTCTCTCTCTCTCTCTCTCTCTCTCTCTGTGTGTGTGTGTGTGTGTGTGTGTGTGTGTGTAGACCTTCCCTGGGTAATAAATCACAGACTAGTGAAAGCAGAGAAGGGGACACCAACACAGAAAAGGCAAAGATGGCTTATGTGTTATGTCAGGTTAAGGACATTTCCTTTCCCTGCAGTGGTTTACTTTTTTATTTATTTGGATTTCTGTGTATGAGTGTTTGACTTGCATGTATGTATCTGAACAAACTTGTATGCCCGGTGCCCACAGAGGTCAGAAAAGGGCATCTGATTCCTTTTAACTGGAGTTATAGATGGTTGTGAGCCTCAGGAATTGAACCCTGGGGCCTCTGCAAGAGCAACAAGAGCTCCTACCTGCTGAGCTACCTCTCTAGCCCCTAAAGTCCCTGATCTGGAGGAATTCCTGCCCTCTTATTCTCATGCGCTGGTACTTTAGAAAATCACAATCTAGCATAGCCCCCTTCCCAAACCTTATCTTAATGGATGGCAGGGTTTTCTCTTGATGACATGCTCCAGATTACCTTAAGACCAAAGCACAATTTTGTGAATATTTCGGGGCTTGAGATCACCCCCTTTTCTCAGTCTAATAGCAGATGGCTTAAAACTTCCCAACTCTCCTGTGTTAAGAGACAAGCAGGAATCATCAAGGGGAGAAAGGGTCTAGTGCCTCCTGCTCATCACTCATCGGGACTCTTGGATTAGCTGTAAGCACATCCCATACTGAAAGTGAACCATAATGACTTACTTCTTACATTCAGAGGGAAACTTGGCATGTCAGTCCTCACCTTCTACTGTTTTGAGATGGGATAGTCACTGCTTCTTATGCCAGGCTAGCAGGCCTTCAAGCTTCCAGAGGTCTCCTGTCTCTACTTCTATCTCCCAGTAGGAGTGTGCTAAGATTACATTGTGTTACGAGTCTGACCTTTGTATGAATGACCTTTGCATGCTCTGAGAATCTGAACTGAGGTCATCAGGCCTGTGCAGCAGGTGTTTTTCCTACTCAGGTTAAGGACATTTCCTTTCCCTGCAGGAGCTGTGAGGTTCTGGTCTATCTAATTGTGCTGACTGTCCCAGGTAGCCACTTCATGAGGGTGTTTGT